GACTGAAATGACCAGTATGTTCGTTTTTGCAGTGTTTAATGTTAAGCAACATAGTTTCACCTGATGTACCTGTAGATTTGGGGAGGGGCAGCTGTGTGCTATATTGGGACCAAATGTTTTGGAGGCTGTTTCAGGGAACTACAACCCTTTTATTTTTGTCTTTATAAGGGGAGCTAGATATTGCCTCTAATCTTGCCTTACACCTATTACAGACCAGTGAAGATCCGGACTAGAATTGATCTTAAGTAACCCACGCTTGTCGTAAGAGGCGACTAATGGGATCGGGTGGTCAGGCTCGCCGACTTGGTTGACACATGTCATCGTATCCCAGTTGCGTAGATCGATGCACATAGTGTTGATCAATGCGCTGTCTGGTCCAGACTGGATTATTTTGAGACCGCCGCCATATCGCTGCAATGTTGCTGAGTGCAGCGTAAAACTGAACTCACTCACTTCACCTATTACACCTCAAGTAACCAGAAGACCAGCACTGTGTGTGATGATCAAATACCCTGCCAAGGCCTATAGTTACAAGTCAGAGTACTGAGCCGAGAGGTGACTATTACCATCATTGTCTTTATTGCTATAATCACTGTTCTTGTATATACTGCCTCAGATTGGGTCTCTATTTTGTACTGATTTGTATTGATTTGTGAACTAGTTCATTTTAGAAAACATTGGTTAATTACAGCCTATCTTTCCAGTTGTGTGTTGTTGCCACACATACTTTATTTTATTGATTGATTCCCGGTAACAGTTTTAGTTCCAACTAGGAATCAACCTACAATGTCAGGGTCATCGTGAATAAATCCGTGCTCATGTGATTACCATGCATGATTCTGAAAAGTAATGATACTGAAATTTTAATGTGAATTTTAATTAAGCACAGCATTATCAAGGTAGACCAAACAATCCATTAGAGTCAGTGCTATTCATATAGTATAACGGAAGATATAATGAGTCTTTTTGACATACAGCTTGGCACAGAGATTCAGATAGGATGGTTTCTCAATGACTCAAAACACTACTAAATAGCTTGTTAAATCAAATCATGTTCCTTATTCCTCCTCCCCTAAATGTCTTTTAGCACTGTACCCCTTCTGAGATATGAAAACGCACCCATTTAGAACATTCCCCATGCGAACTACACAGCCCAAAGATAGACTTCTTTTCTGGGATATATGGGACCTTTGTCACTAATTGTGATGGGAAAAGATAAAGTTATATCTCTGTTTTCAAGATCCAGAATAACTGAAACAAACCAACAGCCGATGTCATCTGAAAAGTATAGAAGAAACAACATATGAAATCCTGGACCGCCTCTATGTTAAATTCGGGAGTTATTTAGACGAAAAGCAGGCAATCAACTGTGCAGCCATTGTGCTATACTTCTTGATGATCCAATTCTTTTTGAACGAGAAAGGAACTGGCAAAGTCAAAACAAAGGAAGTTGACGAAAAAGCTTAGCTAAGTTTCACTTATCTTCATAACCTGATATCATTCAACAATTATCCGATTGTCACTTCCACTGACTTACATTGAAACAAGTGAAAGCTCCTCGTCTCTTCCATATTTAGATTTATGCATAAAGGTTCAGACTCACAAAAAGATTCACCACAAGACTGAATGTCGAAAGGGATGGCTTTAAAGTTCCGTTAGCCTACAGCACTATTTCAGATGTTAAAGCCTTTGGTGTCTACATTTCACAAATTTTCATATACAATCGAACATGCTCCTTCTACTTCGATTTCAAAAAAGGTCATACGACTGAAAACACACTTAATAAGATGGAGTACATTTCCAAATTTGAGGCATCCGTGACTAAGAGGATGTGACATACAATTCACTCAATTGTTATACAACATATTTAATGTTAACAATTGATTTGCCCTTGCATGTGTTTGTGATGGGCTCCACCCTTAGGGAAAGATGCACTTTCCACATTCAGCAATATTCCAGCTGTATGAGCGCGGTCGAACGTCTGACATCAACACCATTTGGTACTTAAAATATGATCGAAATGATAAAGGAGACTGCGTTTCCAGCAGGCATTCCTTATGTTTATGAAAGGTTTTTTTTGTTGCTTTTATTTTAAGCTGTAATGCTGTAGACGGGTCAATATCAAAGAATGCTGTTATTTGGCACTATAATTCATTGAAAAACAGTGTGTAGTTGTACTAAATTGCATCTTTTGAGATTCACTATTGAACAGTTCTGTGCCAGTTACAAGCAGCTTCTACAGCAGTTGGAATAATCCAGTTTAAAGGTCACATAAACTCTACGGGGTACAAATACATAAATCACTAACTGGCATCGTTATAAATGAAACCCCGTCATTAAAACTACTCATTTCGACCTTTAATTGACTTAAATCGACCTTTTTGACAACAGTGCACAATTCTCACCCGCGAACGAAATTTCAACCAATCAGAGCGGCACGTCTCTGTGACGTCATATGAGGAATAGCTTTGAGGGCCGATGCAGAATTCATCTACATTTTAGGGGTTAAATTATCTTGTTTACAGGCTTGTATAAACCTGAAATCGTGACAATTGTTGTGGAAAATGAAAGCTATATGTTCTCACAATCTACTGTCATTTAATTTTGTCTCCTGCTTTGCCTAGTTTCCAAGTTACAACTTGTTTTCATAGACGATTCTGTCAAAATCGATTTAGTTTCAAAATGCATACAAGTATGATAATAAACTAATTAGGATTATAAGACCAAATATAAAGACGCACATTGACTAGTATCTACATACTGGTGAGTGGACATTAACCATGGGAATGTAGCAAGAAATTTATCGCGCAGTATTGTGACTTCGACCCCCGCTTCCGTGGAAGAAATCGTTATGTTATAAGTTGTGTCATGCAAAATCCGTTTGGTTATGATTCCAATACATATTTAACTACCAGTAGAAAGTAGTCTTGATTTTTTAACTTGATGAAAACAAACTATAATCTCATTAATTCTAACAGATTTTTTTTTACAAAATGTCGGCGCCCTGTCGGGAAACATCCGCCAGTCTGAGGATAAATGGTATTTAGGTTTGTTTTCACCGAGTTACAAAATCAAAACTACTTTTCTACTGGTAGTAAATATGTATTTTATTGATGGCCAATAGGTTTTGCATGATATAACATGTATAACATAACAATTTCTCTCCTGGCAGCGAGGTGGGTGTCAATATAATACCACAGTGTACTTACAATATTATTGTTACTTCGACCACAACCTCACTTCCGAGGAAGAAATCGTTATGTTACAAGTTGTGTCAAAGAAAAATATTTATGGTCATCAATCCTATGCATATTTTACTACAACTAGTAAGTAGTTTTGATTCTTTAACTTCCGTGAAGCGATCTGAACACAAGTAAGATATCGTTTCAGGCTTCCACAACGCTCGCTTCGCACTCACAAACATAACCCATTTAGCACGAACTGCGGGGTCCTCTGGAATACTGTGCATGCAGGACACCATCGCCCGACCCCTAGGAGCAATTGACGACAAAGCAACGATTTGGCATGTCGTCGTTGATGTCGAGAAATCATCAAAATGATGAGTGTGCTACACATTTTCTATACAACTAACTGAAAATCGTTCCTCATATGACGTCACTGCAGTGCTCTGGCGACAGAGTTACGTAACCTGTCTGTGGTTTCGTTGGGGGGCGAGAGGGAAGCAGGCGACTTTTTGGCCACTTTTAATCGCTCGGTATTAATTAACCACAAGTTTTTAAAGAATAAATTTGGTGTTCCGCATAAGACTAACCACATATCTTTCATATGTAATGGTTAAAAGAGTAACAAAAAAAACAAAGTTTATTGGTTCTTTAAGAAAGAAATATCTTGCAGCTTTTTCATATATCTAGAAGGGCACACTTGTTGTGCCCTTAAACGCACAATGGTCTTAAGTGCACAGAAATCATGAATATTCATGAGTGGGCGGAGCTTATGTCACTACGTCACATACACGGCACAGTATCTTCCGCGGAACTAGTAGAGGGAGTTGACCTATGCTGCTTCGTCTGTTATCGCCTTATACAATGTGACAGCTGCAATATGCATATGATGTATATGTAAACATGAAGTATACGTGCCGTTTATTCAATATAATGTGCTGTATTGAAGTTTTGCGACGCAACTTCCCACGGTGAAAGAGTTTAAGCGAGAAAGCCTCCTCGAGAACAACCACGGTACCTAGCGTTGCGATGGAAACATTCACATGTCAATATTGTCATTGCTCAGTCCTGACTTATCATAACTCTCCAACCAAACAGAATAACATCTCTTGTCAACCAACTAAATGCTTATACAATACATATGTTCATGTACGTACATATTGCCAGATCTAATTAAACTCCACGTATTTCAATAGTGTCAGCTCTAATAGGGCGTCTTATGAAGGAAGGAAAGGTTACCCAGGCAAGCCAAAGTACCCAAAGCTACCTTTCCATGGCTATCAGGGCACTACAAAATTGAAACAAATATTTGAGATTTATATCCCAGGGTAACCTAGCATGGCAACAAATATTTCTGGAATTTGGGTAGTGTATCTGAAGTACCTGAGGAATCCCTCCAAATGGTAAAATTACTAGTTTCTGGTGTGAAGGTGCAGATAAATATATTCAGGATAAAAAAAAAACCCACCATGTCAACACCTCGGCCAGTTTAAATGTCTGGCAAAGTATATCCCTCCAAAGATACCATACTGCCAGGGTGTTTTGGTACTTTGGCAAGTCTTACTGAGCTTACTTATTGGCACTTAAAATCACTTTCAATTATTTCCAACTTAACTTCCTTCTAAAGTTATGAATATAAAATCATTTTCATGGCATTTTTAACACCCCTTTCAACCTGATCCCTTTGACCATGTACAACCCCCTCTAGACTGAAAATTTCATTCAATCTCTCTCCCATTTCAGCCTAGCTGGGCCACTTCCTCGGCACGTCAAGGCGGACAGTCAGTGTGCACCACAGAGGTTCTGCCAGCTGCCCAGGAGAGCTTCATCCAGCCCCAAGCACCCCAGGGGACTGGTAGGAAATGAAATGCATGTTGTTTTTGCTGTGCCTTTTTAAAAAGGTCCATTGTGCATTTATTTTTCTGTGCACTTAAGGTTTCCTATAGGAGTCCTTAAGTGCACAGAAAACCTTAAATGCACAATGATGTCTTGGCCCCTCCCTGGACCCACTTGGCTGTTTTGGCTGGTGCAGAGGCCCCACCTGATCCCTTTGACCATGTACAACCCCTCTAGACTGAAAAATTTCATTCAATCTCTCTCCCATTTCAGCCTAGCTGGGACACTTCCTCGGCACGCCAAGGACAGTCAGTGTGCACCACAGAGGTTCTGCCAGCTGCCCAGGAGAGCTTCATCCAGCCCCAAGCACCCCAGGGGACTGGTAGGAAATGAAATGCATGTTGTTTTTGCTGTGCCTTTTTTAAAAAGGTCCATTGTGCATTTAAGGTTTTCTGTGCATTTAAGGTTTCCTATAGGAGTCCTTAAGTGCACAGAAAACCTTAAATGCACAATGATGTCTTGGCCCCTCCCTGGACCCTCTTGGCTGTTTTTGGCTGGTGCAGAGGCCCCACCTGATCCCTTTGACCATGTACAACCCCTCTAGACTGAAAATTTCATTCACTCTCTCTCCCATTTCAGCCTAGCTGGGCCACTTCCTCCTGGGCCACATGGCGGACAGTCAGTGTTCACCACAGAGGTTCTGCCAGCTGCCCAGGAGAGCTTCATCCAGCCCCAAGCACCCCAGGGGACTGGTAGGAAATGAAATGCATGTTGTTTTTGCTGTGCCTTTTTAAAAGGTCCATTGTGCATTTAAGGTTTTCTGTGCACTTAAGGTTTCCTATAGCAGTCCTTAAGTGCACAGAAAACCTTAAATGCACAATGATGTCTTGGCCCCTCCCTGGACCCTCTTGGCTGTTTTGGCTGGTGCAGAGGCCCCACCTGATCCCTTTGACCATGTACAACCCCCTCTAGACTGAAAATTTCATTCACTCTCTCCCATTTCAGCCTAGCTGGGCCACTTCCTCGGCGCTGGCCAAGGACAGTCAGTGTGCACCACAGAGGTTCTGCCAGCTGCCCAGGAGAGCTTCATCCAGCCCCAAGCACCCCAGGGGACTGGTAGGAAATGAAATGCATGTTGTTTTTGCTGTGCCTTTTTAAAAGGTCCATTGTGCATTTAAGGTTTTCTGTGCACTTAAGGTTTCCTATAGGAGTCCTTAAGTGCACAGAAAACCTTAAATGCACAATGATGTCTTGGCCCCTCCCTGGACCCTCTTGGCTGTTTTGGCTGGTGCAGAGGCCCCACCTGATCCCTTTGACCATGTACAACCCCTCTAGACTGAAAATTTCATTCACTCTCTCCCATTTCAGCCTAGCTGGGCCACTTCCTCGCCACGCCAAGGCGGACAGTCAGTGTGCACCACAGAGGTTCTGCCAGCTGCCCAGGAGAGCTTCATCCAGCCCCAAGCACCCCAGGGGACTGGTAGGAAATGAAATGCATGTTGTTTTTGCTGTGCCTTTTTAAAGGTCCATTGTGCATTATAGTTTTTTCTGTGCACTTAAGGTTTCCTATAGGAGTCCTTAAGTGCACAGAAAACCTTAAATGCACAATGATGTCTTGGCCCCTCCCTGGACCCTCTTGGCTGTTTTTGGCTGGTGCAGAGGCCCCACCTGATCCCTTTGACCATGTACAACCCCCTCTAGACTGAAAATTTCATTCACTCTCTCTCCCATTTCAGCCTAGCTGGGCCGCTTCCTCGGCCGCTGTCATGACAGTCAGTGTGCACCACAGAGGTTCTGCCAGCTGCCCAGGAGAGCTTCATCCAGCCCCAAGCACCCCAGGGGACTGGTAGGAAATGAAATGCATGTTGTTTTTGCTGTGCCTTTTTTAAAAGGTCCATTGTGCATTTAAGGTTTTCTGTGCACTTAAGGTTTCCTATAGCAGTCCTTAAGTGCACAGAAAACCTTAAATGCACAATGATGTCTTGGCCCCTCCCTGACCCCTCTTGGCTGTTTTTTGGCTGGTGCAGAGGCCCCACCTGATCCCTTTGACCATGTACAACCCCTCTAGACTGAAAATTTCATTCACTCACTCTCCCATTTCAGCCTAGCTGGGCCGCTTCTCGGCGCTGGCACAAGGACAGTCAGTGTGCACCACAGAGGTTCTGCCAGCTGCCCAGGAGAGCTTCATCCAGCCCCAAGCACCCCAGGGGACTGGTAGGAAATGAAATGCATGTTGTTTTTGCTGTGCCTTTTTAAAAAGGTCCATTGTGCATTTAGGTTTTCTGTGCACTTAAGGTTTCCTATAGGAGTCCTTAAGTGCACAGAAAACCTTAAATGCACAATGATGTCTTGGCCCCTCCCTGGACCCTCTTGGCTGTTTTTGGCTGGTGCAGAGGCCCCACCTGATCCCTTTGACCATGTACAACCCCCTCTAGACTGAAAATTTCATTCACTCTCTCTCCCATTTCAGCCTAGCTGGGCCACTTCTCGGCGCCACAAGGCGGACAGTCAGTGTGCACCACAGAGGTTCTGCCAGCTGCCCAGGAGAGCTTCATCCAGCCCCAAGCACCCCAGGGGACTGGTAGGAAATGAAATGCATGTTGTTTTTGCTGTGCCTTTTTAAAAAAGGTCCATTGTGCATTTAAGGTTTTCTGTGCACTTAAGGTTTCCTATAGCAGTCCTTAAGTGCACAGAAAACCTTAAATGCACAATGATGTCTTGGCCCCTCCCTGGACCCTCTTGGCTGTTTTTGGCTGGTGCAGAGGCCCCACCTGATCCCTTTGACCATGTACAACCCCCTCTAGACTGAAAATTTCATTCACTCTCTCTCCCATTTCAGCCTAGCTGGGCCGCTTCCTCGGCGCGTCAAGGCGGACAGTCAGTGTGCACCACAGAGGTTCTGCCAGCTGCCCAGGAGAGCTTCATCCAGCCCCAAGCACCCCAGGGGACTGGTAGGAAATGAAATGCATGTTGTTTTTGCTGTGCCTTTTTAAAAAGGTCCATTGTGCATTTAGTTTTCTGTGCACTTAAGGTTTCCTATAGGAGTCCTTAAGTGCACAGAAAACCTTAAATGCACAATGATGTCTTGGCCCCTCCCTGGACCCTCTTGGCTGTTTTGGCTGGTGCAGAGGCCCCACCTGATCCCTTTGACCATGTACAACCCCTCTAGACTGAAAATTTCATTCAATCTCTACTCCCATTTCAGCCTAGCTGGGCCACTTCCTCGGCACGCCAAGGCGGACAGTCAGTGTGCACCACAGAGGTTCTGCCAGCTGCCCAGGAGAGCTTCATCCAGCCCCAAGCACCCCAGGGACTGGTAGGAAATGAAAAGCATGTTGTTTTTGCTGTGCCTTTTTAAAAAGGTCCATTATGCATTTAGGTTTTTCTGTGCACTTAAGGTTTCCTATAGCAGTCCTTAAGTGCACAGAAAACCTTAAATGCACAATGATGTCTTGGCCCCTCCATGGACCCTCTTGGCTGTTTTTGGCTGGTGCAGAGGCCCCACCTGATCCCTTTGACCATGTACAACCCCTCTAGACTGAAAAATTTCATTCACTCTCTCTCCCATTTCAGCCTAGCTGGGCCAGCTTCCTCGGCTGGCCAAGGCGGACAGTCAGTGTGCACCACAGAGGTTCTGCCAGCTGCCCAGGAGAGCTTCATCCAGCCCCAAGCACCCCAGGGGACTGGTAGGAAATGAAATGCATGTTGTTTTTGCTGTGCCTTTTTATTTTAAAGCATCGTAGAGAGCCTTCAGTGCTGACTGAATCAAATGACAGCAGTGATTGGATGATTTTATGTTGTTAAAATGTGCATTCATCCACTAATTAAACCTAACCATATTTTTTCAATGTGTAGTTGCTTCTTTTTAACCTGATTGCTTCTGCAGAATGTGTGCAGAGATATTTTCATGTAGGTTACATTTTAATGCGAAACTGGGGTCGGCGCTTTTCACACTCCTGTATTATTCCTCTAAGTTTTACCATGACCCGGAAGGAAAATAGGAGAATGTAGTGCCTTGTTTAAATGCACTGATTTGTCTGTGCTAATTTATTCAGGGTGACTTGTGACAGCTTAAATGAAAGATCAGACATTTTACTTTACTGCCATTTGTTTTTGTCCTCAATCTGCACATGTTATTGACTCCAGCCTTTCATGATTTGACCCCAAGTTCAGGCTGTTTAGTGTATTTCAGCTCGAAAATTCCGGTGACCGTTGTTGACAGTGGATACAGCAAAACTGAAATACTCGATCCAGACCGATATTTTGATGGGTAAGTGAGAAGTAATAGGTTGGTCAGCATGCCACAGGACAGCCTAGGACAGATATTAATTATGGTGCTCTGGCCATGGCATGTCACTGTAGATAGTAAAGTGGTCTGAGGCTATATGTACTACATGTATTGGCTGTTAACAGCCTGGTTGTTTTTAATGTTGCTTTGGAAGTTAATGGGAAAACATTTGATTTTGTGCAACATGTAAAGGTGAGTGCACATTTTAGTAATTCATACATTACATGTATATGCTTTCCTATTTATGTTTCACCATGGATACAAGTTGGCATTGTTATAGAGACTAATTTAAGGGGAGTGAAGCTAGGGCTGCTTGAGTTGAATGGATTGTTTTAGTGGCCTTGATTTGAATGTAGCCTCGATTTGTGGTCTAATAGTGACAAGAGCCCACATGGTAATGGTTACCTGGCTTCTAAATTTGTTGAAACCGATGAATTGACAACAAATTAGGATAAAGTCACCACTGACACAATTTGGGTGTCTGTGTGTAAAGTCATATGATATGAGTATTGTGAGTATGAAATGTGTTCACTGCTGATGGCACAATATGTCACAAAACCCTCTTATCTTAAGTAAACAGTGTTGCATATGATCCATTCTTTCTGTTACACCCTTTTTGCATATGAATAAACTTTTTTCTCTCATGACTTTCAAACAATTATTTAGTTTCTCAAAAACTGTCTCATGGCTGTTATGGTCTTTATGATTGAACATTTAATATGATCTTGACACTATTTTCAGCTTGGAGAATGACTGATGGTGACTGGGGAGGTGTATCTTTGCACATACAGCAGAATCAGAAGCCTTCACATCCAATGTTGTGTTTCAACAAGTCGGTCTGATGTTGGCAGTGTGTGCACCCTCCTTTAACCTTGATATCCTCTACCACCTTGAACAAGTTGTGGTACTTGAACATGTAGGTACATACAGTACATTTAAGTGCCCCAGTCCAGTGAAGGCTGTATCTCAAATTTCATAACTCTCTCAACCTCATCCATTAGATATTTCTGATGAATAATAATCACTTTTGGGCAGGGTAACTAATAAACTTCAGTTATCTGGATTTTTTCATTTTGTTTTTCATATATGAAATTGGCAAGTCTAGCATTCTCAAAACAGCAAACAGTGAATTTTTTTATTTCATGGAAGTATTTCAAAGTCTTAGCTTGATGAATTGATAGACTCATGTGTAATTTCGTTTCATGCTGTGGTCTCAAAGAGCTTTCATCTGTTTCAATTTAAATTTCCTGGCTTTAACAGGCAGTAGGGTTCTTTGGTCAGTGTTTCACATTGCTAGGCATATTCCAACCCCTTACTTTATACTTTCTGGCAAAATTCATTATTCAGCCTTACATATGTCAGGACTTTAAAGCTGTTTAATGTGACCCTGGCCAATTTCTGGCCTGAATTCTGTGCTTTCTAACTTTGAACAATGTTTCTGATTCCTCTCCACTTAGATCACCAGCCTACATCAAAAATGCTTACACAAATGACTTTGGGGATAAACAAAAGATCAGACACTGGTGTTAGCCCTCTCATAAGTGGTTTATCAAACCTGGACAGTTGTTAGTTTACAATATAAGCAATGCAGGAGTGTGTGTTGAAACAGTTTTAAACTATCTCAATCACATCAGGTCATGAATATCAAAACCATATTCTATTAATGTAGTCAGACTCTGCTATGATTTGATGATGTCAGCAGAGGAAGGCAAACAACTGACCATTAATGAACAGGAGGTTGCATAGTTACTAGTTTTGAGGTTTAAAGATTTTCTGTCCTTCGAAATATGATGTTGCGTGAAATTATCCCATGACTCTCTTTTTATGTGACAAATGAATAAACTCCCATGGTATCTGTATGATTATAAAACATTCTTTATTAATGCAGAAATACATTTTGCAAAACATTAATGAAATAGACATAATTTATCTCTTACAAGTTTTTCAGTGTAACAAATCTCTCTGTATCTTGTGCCATATAGACATATTGGACAGGGAAAAGTATTGAAGCTTCATCCAATTCTTTTAAAAAAAATTCAAGTGACATGTACACATATACAGGGCATGGGGTAGCCCACTGGTTTGCTTCCCAGGTCCATTCCCCACATGGATGAAGCCTATATATGGTGTCCCCTGCCGTGATATTGCTGGGATATTGCTAAATGCGGCATAAAACTAAATTCACTCTCTCACTCACATGTACACATACAGTACATAAAACACAGATTTGCCTAGTGCAGATATCTCCATTTTTTTCAACATTAAGACCTTTCTGTATGTTTAAGGGCAGCTGCAGAAGGGTCATAAGTACACATATAAACATCACATAGGAAGACAAGGCATTATTGACTCATGTAGTTTAGTGATATTTCATGCAACATGTAAGTGCATGTAAGTATCCATTTCATATTTCATATTTATAATAACCTGAAGATTACAGCAAAATATATCAAAAGGAAACACCAGCTGTTTATCACCTAAATAATTTTCTTTTGCAAACTGCTTTGGAGACTACCACATGTGAAATATTATTTAGTTGCCATGTCATTTACTCTGTTCAAGGTTAGAGCATGTAAAACACATTTTGGACCAAAGGCCATTTTGGATGTATTTGACTAGGTGCGGTGAAAGTCTGACAATATCATTATGTTCACAGCTGAGTTGGCTAGATCACTGACTTTGTATGTTGGCGATTTGGTGGAGAGAGTCGGTTCAAATCCTGGATGGGACTGAACCCCAAACATGTCTAGAATGTGTATCTTACTGAGAAAGTGTAATCTTGCATATAACATGGTTTCATGTGTACAACTTGTATAAATGTGATATGTTTTGACAATTATTATGTATATTGAAGAAAGGATTTAATGGATTTGAAGGACTATATATGCATAATAAATGTTTCTTTTCCATTTTAAAAGGCTTTATAATTATTATGATTACCATTAATACATCACTGAGATGTACTACCACTTCAACAAGTAATCCATCCTAACAGTAATGTACAGAACCTAGCCTTTGTTTCTTAGTTAGAAGATAATTGTTAGTCATGTTAGTGTCTCATTTGCCCTAATTCATAATCAGCCACATATTAAGTATAGGCAGCAGCTGAACTATTTGGGTGCGATTACATCTGGATATGGTATGTTAATAATGGTGTGCATTAATATAGTGTTCAGTGACTGTTTATGTGTTTCATATGTGTTTATTATGTTATAATCTATTGTGCAGTGATATGTTCATTGTACCATACTGTCAGTATGTTTACCCAAATAAACTCTACAGAGTAATCTTAATGCTGATGAGGCAACCACATTAAAATATGTTTTACCTCAGTTTGGTTTGTCTTATTCTTTTCATTTTTGTGTGGAATAACACTCCATATAGAATAAAGAGGGTCCTTGTGTGTACCTTTTGTATTGTATACGTTTGTTAATAACTTTTGTAAGATAACTCAATAAATTATATAACATTATTAACATTAATCACATAATGTGAGATAAAATAGAAACAAACATATGAGGTACAATTGAACCTAATGATGGATTTTGATGCATTTCAGGCTCAACCTTCAAGAAATAGAAGCATTGGTGTTCTTTCAAATGACATCACGACTGCCTTAGATTAAAACTTGAAGGAGGTGACATTCCCCAGAAAAGTAAGATTGTCAAGTTTTATCATTTTTGAAAGAAAATGAACAAGTTTGATTTACCTTTGAAAGAAATCCACAACCCTGTCCATGGAAAATACAGACTGGAAATTATTGATGGGGACAGGAAAATAGTGATTTATTATGATATTGGTCTTGGGTCCAAGTGATGGTTCCAGTGAAACACCTTATCTAACTGGCGTTCTGGTCTGCTTGGGGGAATTAACTCAGCAAAAGAGTCCGAAGTCACAAGAAGCTAATCACAATTTTATTTACAAGAACGGAGTAACATGGGGTGGCCACAGAGAGTCGGTACAACCCTCTGGGCTGAGGGCTAGAGCTGACCTGTGTTGGGAGTCTAAACCCTACTCATCGACAAATGAAGATAGAGACATTTTATCTACAATTAAAACAATAAAGAGATTATGATTGGTTGACTGATACAAAAAATGGGTGTAACCTACATTAGCCTATCAAATACAGAATATACTAAATGGGTGGGTCCTTCAATGACCAGACAGGGCAATCACTCTTAATCCTTGTTAATCCTAGTTTAACTGGCACTAATCTGATGGCACTTTTACTGGATGCTTGGATCTTAGGGCTAGATCTCAATGAGCCTAATCTGATGTGTCAATTACAGGTGCTTGGATTACAATAGATGCATTTAATCGTCTGGTCATAACTCTGAATTACTGAAAGGGTTGCTAACAGCTTGAGTCCTCAATACCTTAGGCTAGGATTTTATCTTGGATATCTGTGAAATTGTGTAGCCGTAATTTATACCTTTTTCAATAGTATGTCTGTGAGATGAGTTTTACAACTTTTGACTGGAGTCTTTCTCTAAGCTATTACTAATATTCTATATTTATATTTTCCTAATATCTGAATCCTAATATATTGCTTGTAGTGGTAATAATGAATAATGAATTTTGTATGAATTATTATCCCATGATAACTTATCCCATGATAGATTCCTCAGTCTGGACTTCATAATGTCATATCCACAAATATACACAGCGTTTGTTGGGTTCAGGATCCGAAATTCCGAAAATATTAGAACATTGATAAACCGGTATTATGCTGGAAATTCTTAGGAATCCGTACAGGAGTTTATTGATAAGCAGGGTGACAGGCAATTGTTATCCCAAATTTCCTAATGAAGCAAATTTGAAACCTGATATAGAAAACACCAGTGGGGCAACATACCATTGACTTTGTGGATCAACTACATAGGATCTACCTTGAGTATGGATTGGGAAATCCAAGAATACCACAATGTGACCAAGGCTCTGAGTTTAAGTGAGCAGTCAACCAATTATTAGTGGTGGTCTGATTTATTGAAATAATCAAGATTGGTCGCAGTGACTAAAATGACCAAGCAATCGAAAATGTTTTCTCATAATCAAACACAAGCAGTTTTGGAACACTTGTTTGCATTAACAATATTTTTTCACAAGGTTGGTTTGTCTGAGTCATTTTATTTACATTTCATAAGCACTACAAGCTTGTTCCAAGTCATGATTGAATTTATCTTAAAGACTCCTGAAATTTATGTTCCCCACATACTAGCCATCCTTTAAATATGTGAAGTATGAAAATGCATTTTGTGCAATTTACCCCAAAACCCAAAGAACTACATGGGTTTTTGTAAATTATTTTGTGCATTAACAAAGGTAACAGGAACATTTGATAAATGATCCTAACCAATTATTTTCGATGATTGATCGGTTGTAATGGACCAATGATCAATTTTAACCAATTCCCAACACTACTAATTATGCATTGAAATGGGAACAATAATTGTCATAAGTCTTAACTCACCATCCCTAATATCAGGGAAGAGTAGGAGATAAATAACAAATAATATATATGGGATCTGAAATATGATATGTAATCTATAAAGGTCATGTCCATGGTTAAGGTCACAGATGTAATGGCATCTTCCTGATGCTTGATATGAAGGAAATTATTGTTGGTGTAAGTTGGAACATTTCAACGTTAGGGCAGAGCCACAAACACAGAACAGATGTATTGGACTTGCAGGTTCCCACTCACTGGTCAGGCAATATAGGCTCAGCTTTTTTGTGAACCGTTGGTACCACCACAAACTGGTAGTAATTCA